GTGTGTGTCTGTGTGTCGTGTTTCACTTCCTCCTGTCTGTCACCGGGAAACTGCGTGGGCCTCTGTACAATACGTACAGGTCTACTACCGGGTACTGGGGGGAGGGAAAGGGGGAAGGGGGGGGTCGTATAGAGAGGGGTGCGGAGGGGGTTTCCGGTAGAGCTGGGCATGGAATCAATTCCGGAACCGATTCCCACGACTAATGCAACCATGTACTATCATTGATGCAACTGAAGAAAAGTTCCCTTTCACGAATCCCAACGGTTACCAGTAACTTTAATCATTAAAATCTTCTTTTTGAAAAGCATTTATTTTTGAAAAATATAAGTTGATGCTTTTGAGTTTTCCGAAATCAAGGTTCTCCTAAATCCTGGAGATGTTCGGAGCACAGAATTCTACACTTAGTGTAGAATTCTGTGGTTCGGAGTCAACACGGGAACCACCGGAAGAAATCACATCAGTAGAAAGTAAGTCATTGGGATCGGAGTCGATTCCTACGATTCCTTGTTTTCAATAATCGGGAACCTAGCCGCCCAGCACTAGTTTCCGGCCTAGTAGCCTACTTGGGGAAGGGGGGGGGGGGCTTGTAATGGGAAGGGAAGCAGAGTGGGTCTCTTGCAAGGAGTTTATATAGGCCTATCTAACAAAAGGCCTTTGGTCTCCTTTTAACTTATGTTAACCCTTCCATACCTATGCGCATGTAATACTTTTCAGCAGTGCTTGTACCTCCTACCGTCCCAAGAGCGTATATAATTTTCTTGATTTCGAGGAGGGGGTTCTGAATTTGCGCATTTTTCGAAATTACCGAATCGTATTCAACTTTTATTTTCATAATATTTGTTTAATTTACCTTTAAACATTGGTACATGTCATTATCTAAACCTCAGTACAAAGATACTACATCACTTTTTAGAATGCACGCCTCTTTTTCTGAAAACGGCTGTATTGGCTGGGACTGGGGTTATTAGGGAGTACACAAAAATGGCTGAGGCTGGAAAGGTTAGGGAAGCTGAGGTGGTCTTCTTAACGGACAAGGGCCCCGGGAACTGAGGGGAAGGGAAGGGTAGGGTGGCAGAGAGGGTCGCACAGCGAGGTGAGTCTCCTGTACTGGCAACAAACACACAAAGGTCGAAGAGAGATCAGGACGAAAG